CTGAAGTAAGCATAAATGTTCTCGAACAACTTCAATAGAGAAAGGCTTGTTTGATCCTTTCTAAACTTCCTGAAACTGAGCTGAATATTTGTTTGTTTTGTGGTAGCTCAATTTTTTTTTCAGGCCTTGTAGTGCATGACTGTTGGTTTCTCAGTTTAAAAGGAAAGTGCTTTTCTCAGTAATGATGCTCTGTTGTGAACTCGGCAATACCCACTTCTAAAGGCCATAAAGATAAAGTTCTGCTAACTCTTAGGACTCAGCAGATAAAGGATGTGGCCAGCTACCACCTCCCCGAGTCATTTGGTACATATACTGAAAAGGGTGTGAACAGAAAGTTTCTAGATTTATTTTCACATTGAAGATCTGATCCCACAAGGGGAAAATGTCAACAGAAATGACTATGCAAATATGATTAAATAGCATTTTGACCTTTCAATTGCCAAAGAAACAAAGGCCATGTTAAGGTGACTTTGCTATTCCATTGTTTTTTTTGAGGAGCCTACTGGCAATTAGCACTATGTTTATCCTTTTACTATTTGGGGAACTCCAGTTCCACTGATGCCCAGTCCAAAATAGATGGACAGACCAAGTACAATACATGGAGAACACGCCCAGGAGCCAAGGAGGAGGTTGTTTGCAGAAGAGGTGAGCTCTTCCTTTCTGGGAGATGAGTATCAACATCGAACCAGCATGTGAGATTAAGCTAACTGACAACTCCTAAGACAGAATGTTCTGAAGTTGGAAGAGCCAAGAAGTGGCATGTCAGGGCTGAGGTGCTTGGCAGAGTCTTCCGATACATGGAGAGTGTTTTTCTATACCTTGTCTCCCAAACGCTAACCTTCCCAGGCTCTGGGTGTCCCAGGGCCCCTCGCAGTGTGGGAGACAGCACTTGCGGTTATGACAGCAATGGTCAGGCCTCCTCTCTGCGGCCTGTGAACACACATTTGCCATGCGTCAGATGCAATAATCGTATATGCCATGGATTTCTTTTTTTCCTGGAAGCAACTGGAAACCAACCGAGTGACACTTAAGTCCTTCACCTGCTGCGTTACTGTAGCCAGTGGGCAAGAGCCAGAGTGGTACCAAGAAGGGCCCTCATTGGAACAGCCGCAGGGGTTATGGGCTCTGGCTTGGAATGGAATGTTATATACTATGTTCAGAGTCATGGCAACTTGAACTTGGCAACCATATCTGCTTCTGAGATTACAAGTGCCTCACAGCCAAGTGCACCTGTGACAAGAGTTGACCTTGGAGTGGGGTATAGATTGAGAAACCTCTCTTTTATAGCTAACGATTCATTTGAACTCTAACAGCTGGCAGTTTGGTGGCAGTTTCAATGTCAGAATTACCTGGCACTGCTTGCCGCCCTCCACATATTGAATAAAGGGTCCATATGGAATCACTAAAGGCTTCCCTCCCCACAGAAAGAGACCGGGTGCTTAGAATTAAAAGGATGTTTCCATAGTGTCTTTAGTTTCCATCATCAAAGTGTATAAAATTAACTACGTTTGAAACTGAGAACCCTCCATGAGGTATAATAATAAGTTCTCTTTGCAAAAGGGCTATTTTTCAGAGGGTTATTAAGACCATATTTCATGATAGTCATGTTTCAACGTATTTGTACTTCTCAGAACAGGCTGCATTTGCTTTCATGTGTTGTGATTAGCTGGCTTCTGCATTTAATCTGTGGCATGTGGCATTTTTCTATACTAGTGTTTCTATAGAAAATTTTGCTTGGAGCATGTAAGAGACCAGTTATAATGGTCTGGTTTGAAAAAAAAAAACTATTCAACATTCCCAATAGCCACGTTTCCAAAGAAAATGATCTATGGGGTACCCAAGGTTAAAGTTCCAAAAATTATTTTTGCATTTCCTTCAAGTGCATTTCAAATGAAATTGAGAAATAGTATTAAGAATGTCTCCAGTATTGATATAATGAGGATATACTTTATATTCCAGTATTACCAACCTTCTTTGATACATTTGTATGTATTTAAAGTAGCATTTGGTTTTACTGCATATCACAGTTCCTACTTATCACCACCTTCTTCAGGACTGTAGCATTTGGAAGGCTGGGTCTCATTCACATACAAATGAGATATTGTCATGCTTTCAAAAGTGTCTTCTCTCCCTCTCTCCCCCTCCTCCCTCAGTTGGCCTCATGTTAAGTTAGCCAATCAAAGTCAACATTACATCTTCCCCTTTGGCCTGTGTTCTTCCTCCTCTTTATATAAGCCTCGATGGCCCCACATCTTTCCACAGCCACTGCCACACCTGGACGGGCAACATGCAATAGATGTCTGACACTTCCTCCTCCTCACCTGATTCCTGGGGCTGACCCATCTGCCTCTGGGATGTGATGCCAGGGACTCTGCAGACAGCTGCGGCAGGAGGAGCGTAGAGGAGGCTCTATGTCAACAAAGGGCATTTTCTGGCCTGTGTTCCTCTCTCAGCCATGAACATGGCACAGAGTGTTGGTCTGGGGTGGAAGTCATTGGACTCTTTTCACTCTGAACAGTTCTGGTCTTTGACTATCCCTAGCACAGGGGCAGCCTCTGTGATTTAAAGGAAAAACAGGGAAGAGTAATAATAAGGCTTTCTCAAGGCAGTAAGTCAACTCTTACCTCAGGATCTGTTGTCCGTTTGCAACCGCAATGCAACTTCAGGCTCTGGCAGCGAGGGAAACGCTGGCTCCCCGAGGGCGCTGGCTGTTTACAAGAAAGGAGGGCACGGCCAGACCAAGCTGCGGCGTCATTTGTGCAAGGCTTCACAAGCCCCTGCGTCTTCTGGTTTGGGGAACCAACCCCTACGGGTTTGCCCACAGGCTTTTTGTGCCGTTCGTGAACCTTGTTTCTTCTGAGAGTGGTTTCAGAATGCAGGCACCAAGATGAAAGTTTAAGGCCTCACAACACATCTGAGCAGAAAGGAATCATAGAGAAAGTCCTCGTAGTCCAGGAAACGGAGGCCTAGAGGTTGCAAGCTGTGCACCAAGTTAGCAGCAAGGGCTACAGACTGTGCTGGAAGAGAAGAAGTAAGTAGGTGGTCCGCTTGCCAATCAATACCAAATGAGCCATTTTAGGATGAAAATAGAAGTGATATATACATACATATTTTTGCTAGACTCATCTTCCGGGTCATAAACACTTCCTACTATGGGTGACTGAGCCCAAAAATAAATATGGGGAGAAAAATCCTTTGCGTGTATGAAGCACTTTATATTTTCTGCCTGCTTCTCAATCATTAATTAAGCCCTGCAGCCACCCTGTGAAGCCGGTCATTACCACTGTGTGAGGAAACCGAGTCCCACAGGAATATGTGACTTGCCCAAGCATACAAGCCAGACAGGCTGGGCAAGGTGAGACTTCCCAGTTTCTGATGCCCACGCCCCATGTGCAATCCTGCCTTGTCACCCTGCGTCTTGGCGCAGAGAACAAATAAACAAATGATGATTGCATTGCTTTTATTTCTGGGGAGCAATGGGTTCTTATTCAAAATAGGAACAAGGGGCAAGACAAATAGCATCTAACAGCAAAACTGTCAGAGGACAGTGGTGCCACCATTCAGGGCCTTGGAGTTCTGCCCTTTCCAAAGCTGTGTATCCACTTGTAAGTTTCTTTTCACTACTCACATACCCAGGTATTATTCAGCAGATGTGTCATATGTCTTGTTGGGCAGTGGGGAGTCAGAAGTGGTACCATGAGGTCTACATTGTTGTATTCAGAGTTAATACCATGTAATACCATATAATATGTGCTGTAATATGTGTATTTGTGTGTGTGTGTGTGTGTATATATATATATATAGAGAGAGAGAGAGAGAGAGAGAGATGGAAGTTGAAAAGAGGAAATCTGCCCTGCCTAGGAGTCAGGGAAGGCTCCACAGATAAAGTGACATTTAAATAGAGAATCAAACATGATGAGTAGGTGTTTGCTGGTTGGAAATGAGGGAAAAGAGCATTTGGGCAAAACTACAGGCAGAGGTTTGATCAATTGTGATTTCGGAATCCACCCCCATATTCAAATTGTGTTCCCTGTAACCAAAGGGATAACTGAAACAGTAAGTTCAGCTTTCAACCCCAAGGTCAAATGATCTCTCTCTGCTCTTCGAGATGTCTCTCAAAGAACTTCTTCCATACCGTACAGAAAGCCAATGCCTTGGGCAGGACTTCTGAGAGTTCCAGGGTTTGAGAGCACAAGAGGGAGGCATTGGAAGCTGTGTTTTCCATCACTCCTGGTGCTGATTTCTGCTTTTTACTGATTCATCTCAGTTTGATGTCCTTTATATAGTAGTTACATGTCCATTATGTGTATGTATGTGTGTGAGTGTGTGTGTATGTATTGGGGTTTTTTCTGTACAAAAAAGACACATTTTTCATTTCTACCAATAACTATATTGATTTGGATATTTGGAGTATGTTGGCCATGTCCTGCTATTAGTAGCTTCTAGTGGGTAGAGGTCAGGGGTGCTGCTAAACATCTTCCAGTGCATAAGACAGCCCCGTGGCAAAGAATTATTTGGCCAAAACGTTAATAGTACTAAGAAACTTCACAAACCACTTTTGACACGTTCAGTCACATTTCCATAAACTGTACAAATCTTTTTTTTGCATTTCAGATATATTTTTACCTTTCTCAAAATAATAAAGCATATTATGCTGAAAATGTTGCGTATTTTCTTCCATCTTCAATAGTAAACTGGCTGCACAAAAATTCACCAATTTTGATAAGTTCTTTTTCTAATGCATGCTGATATGACAACTGTCACAATACAATCTAACAGAATTGTTTCAAATGAAGCGAAAGACAACTAAGCCCTACTACAGCCATCACACAGAAAAAATATAATGGACTTTTTGGCCAACCCAGTATATTCATATTCATATATTTATATTGACAACATGTATATGCATGTATATGTACACACATAAGTGTATGTGAAACACATATACATGTGACATGTGTATGTTGTATGTATTTACATAAATACATAAATATACCTGTGTATGATATCCACCCCTTACTTGGTTTTTTAGAAAACTCTGTCTCCCTGAGGACTTCACTGGGGTGGGGGGAGAGGGTGAACAGCACTCAGGGACCCCCCCCCCCCACTGGAGACAGACAGCTGCAGGTGGGCCTGAGCAACCTGGGGGCCGACCCTTCGGCAGCAGAACCACCACAGCTCACGCTCATCTCGGCTGTTTTGCAAAATGTCCTTGTGTCTTCCTCTCTGTGTTTTTTCCCACTCCCACCCTCTTCTCTCTCCCCCGCACCCTGAGGTTCCTCGGTAGCTCTCTCCTCCCCCTCTTCTTCTCCCGCAATCTGGCTCAGCTCAGTTAATTGTCTCCTGGTCTTTATCACCCCTATCTTCAAGGTCAACAGCTTATCTTGAAATGTTCCTAAGCCAGGACAGTTCCTTTCCAAAGAGAAAATTTGGGTATTACAATGGTTTCAGTTTCCGTTTGCCTGTCTGTGACTCGCCATATTTCTGCACACAGATAGTCCCTGGCAACAAGTGAGCAATCAATATTATCTGTTCTGTGAATTAATTAATCAATTACATTGTACTTTTAAAGGGTTCATCTATCCTGGTGTTTGACTTTCCTAGAATTCTGCCCTGAATGCTAAAGAAAATGAGGCTCATAAGACATCTCAATCAGAGGGGTCCAGCGGCTGCCCACTGCATGGTGATACACACCAGTCACTGAAGCCAGGCAGCTGGGAGATCAACTCCAAAGGCATTTGTTAAGCTAACTAGTCAGGCCTGCATGAAGGCCAAGGGTGGAAGGACACAGACCTGCTGCAGAACAGGGTTTGGCTCTTGGGAAAGAGGCAAAAGCCTCCAGCTTCACGAGAAATCTGTGTTGCATCAGGCCTTTGTCTCTTACCACTGTTATGTTATTAAATTGTTATTAAAAGCCTCATGATAAAGTACTACTCCCTGGGTATCTCCAATTTTTTAAAAATCTTGCTGAAGTGGTCTCTCCCTCACCTCCCTGTACAGGGAATGTTATAAACGGCTGTAAAGAATTCTCTCAAACTAGTCCCATCCCCAAGTCCTTTCAAAGCAACATGGAAATAGTATTTCAAAATGAATAAATTAAAAAAAAAATCCCAGTGGCTTCCAGTGCTGTTCTAGTAACTTCCTGGGAAGGTGAGAGAGATACACAGACATCCCCACAGCCCTTGTGGTTACTAATAAGTCTCTGAGAAGCCCAGGCATGAGGTTCTGTCCAAGTTGCCACCCACCGTTCTGAACCTCCCTTCTCTGTTTATTTATTTATTTTCTCCCATTCTAGAACAGCCAGCAAATGATTTCACACCTTTTTGTTTAGCTGCTAAAAGCAACACAATAACTCCCCTCAGGGCTGCCTCTGTGGGTTCCAAAAATAAAATGGGCTCATTTTCATGCTAAGCATGTAAAGGCTCGTAGGGATTCTAATGAAAAGCAAGGGAAGGAAAAAAGGAGAAAAGAGGGGTCGGGCTGGGGGCTGTTGCTGAGGAGGGTCAGCTTCTGCGGAAAGTTACCAGCCACCCCTGCTAGAAGGAAAAGCTTAAAAAAAAAAACCACGCAGTTCTCAGATAACAAATTAAAAGGTGATCTGAGCTGACCCTTCAACTCCCCAGCTTATCTTCCATCCCTACGCCCAGGGTGATTCCCGGAACACAAACCGAGGTCCCCAAGATCAGCGAGCCGCTTGTTTCAGCCTCCCAGATAAGAAATCTCCTGGGTAGGAAGCAGCAAGGTCACGATGCAAAATCTTGCTTCCGGGTCAGAATATAAAATAAAATCATAGGTCTGTGAGATTCTAGGTTAACTTTTGAAATTCACAGTTTTCCGAACTTAAGTCATTAGCTACAGCAGACTTACAATACTTTACCTTGGGTGTTAGAAAAGAACACTGTGTAATTGTAGCCCGTCTAGAATGCTGGACAGATTTCCATGAGAGCTGGCCAGAAGCGTGCGGGCTGTCCACCTGCCACAGGAGGAAGCCGTGTAGGACACCGCTGACTCCAGGTTGGCTGGCCCGAAAGTCAGTGATGGCGCCCGCTCCCTACATTTCCAATCAGGCCTCTGCTTAGGAGGCCAGACTCTTGGAGATTCCTTCTGTGGGCTGAGTCACATTCTGCTCCCCTGCAGCTTCTACTCATCGGTTCTAGACTGGTCTCATGGCCCATGCAGCAGAGAATCTGTCTTTTTATGAGAAACTTTCAAATATTTGACAACTCTGAGTCTGCACTGTCTCCTCCCCTCTTAGTTAGGCTTCCCATTTTCTTCTGCTAACATGGTTTCCGGTTCCTTCCCTAGGATGTAATCCAGTTTACAGTATGTTCCTCTCACAGCGCAGCCTGGAAGTGGCCTGACCGACACAGAACACAGTAGTGGAGTAAAGAACAGGCCATTCACACAGCCTGTGCTTACCCGGCCGCTTCCCTTGGCACATGTGCTGTGCCACAGTATCCCATTCCTTCCAAGACCTGTGAACAAAGGATGTGCTAAGCCAACTGTCAGTCGGATCCCTCCGAGCATCTAAATGCTACTTCAAGGAACGTAATTTTTTAAATAGTGTAAAATGATCCCTTTACATACAGTATTTACAAGTAGTATTTAAATGATCCCTCTAAATATTGGACATGCAAATAGTAAGGCATTATTCTCTTCATTAAAACACATAGCCAGAGTGCCTTCACTTGACAAACGAGGACGAATTATTCCGTACTGACTATCTGAGCATTTTCTAGCCGAGTTTCTGTAACATTGTTGTGGGAGTCAGACTTTCTGTGCAAGGAACCGGAGAATATTTAGAAATGGAAAGGACAGAGGAAGATTTTCAAATCCAGTCACAGACTTCCAGGAAGATATCGTTACCCCGTTTTAATGTTCACTCAGAATTCATTCACTGAATGTTTTCTGAGCACCTGCTCTGTATTGTTCCAGGCTTATTCAAGGGTGACAGACATCGTCCACTGCTTTCAAGGAGGCAGGATTCCTGTGGGGCAAACAGCAAAAGGTGAAATGACTTCATGTACTGATACGTGCTACAGAGAAAATAAAGCAAACCCGAGATAGAGGCTGTGTCAGGAAAAATGAATTTTAGGAGGGACATTTGATCTGACTGTTAACAAGGTTTCAATCACAAGCAGACTATGGAAGAAACTTGTTCCAAGCCATGGAATCAGCAAATGCAAAGGCCCCGAGGTAGAAATAAACGCGGTGTGTTCTGGGAAGTAAAATTAGGCCAGTACAGCTGGAAAATATTAATAGAAGAAGAAAGTGTTAGCAGATGAAGTCACAGAGGAAAGAGGTGGGCAGGGGAGGGATGGCATAGGGCCTCACAGGCTGTGATGAGGGGTTTGGATTTTTTCTAAATTCAGTGAGAAGCTACTGGGGGGGGGGTAGGGGAGTGGCATGATTTCATGTACATTTTAAAATGTCCTCTCTGCTTGTATGCAGACATGGTTTGTACAGAGTTTAAAAACAGAAGGAAAGGAAGGAGTTAGGAAGTTGTTGTAATAGACTAGGCAAGAGATGACAGTGACCCAAACTGGCATGGTAGCAATGGAAATATAGAGAAGTTGCAAAAATTCTGAATGTACTTTGAAGGTAGAACCGCTAAGATTTGCTAGGAGAGAAGCAACTGGAGTCCAAGGAAACTTGAAGGACTTGCCTAAAAGGGAAGAAGGAGACCAACGGAAGTTGGGCACTTAGTAGTGCTGTGTCTTTAATCCTAATATTAATCCTAATAACACTGTGAGGGGGATATTATTTTACCAAGATTTCATACATAAGGACCCTGACACACACATTTTATTTTGAACACCTAAGAGATGCTTTTCAGATGTTTATATTGCCATATTCTTAATTGAATGCTTTGAATGACGGACTACGGCTAGTTATGCACCTATATCCTCTGGCATTGCTTTTTAACCTCCCCGGAATTCATTTCCTAAAATTAAAGACATTTTTAAGGGGGAAAAGGGCTCAGAGAAGCTGAGTAATTTATTCCAAGAAAACATACAGTCAGCCCTGGCCAAGTGGCTCAGTTGGTTGGAGCACCATCCTATACACCACGGGGTTGCTGCTGGATACCCGGTCAGCCCACATACCTAGGTTGTGGGTTTGATCCCAATCAGGGCACATACAGGAGGCGATGGATGTTTTTCTCACATCAATGTCTCTCTCTTTCTCTCTCTCTCTCTGTCTCTTCTCCCTCACCCCCTCCTCAAAACTCAATAAACATATCCTTAGGAGAAGATTTTTAAAAGATAAAAATTAAAGTAAAAAACCCACTGGGTCAGGTTAAGCTGGGATTCAAACTCAGAACGATTTGACACCATATCTCATAGTCTTGCCCACTACACCACATGGTTTTCCAAAGTGTGGTGGAGAAGAACCCTGAGTGAGGATTCCTGCCATTGGACTTCTTCTGTGGATCTGTTCTGCCGAGTTATTGCAATACCATTATTTGCTACAGGTCCCCGCAGCATGTCAATATATTTAATCTAGACTAAGACAACTCCCCCATCCCAGGTCCATTCCGCCCCCTAGCCTTACTCCTCTCAGCGGCGGAGTTAAGGCCAGTTTCTTTCCAGGCAGTTTAACTAGCAGAGCCCTGAGCCCACCTCCCCTCCTGAGGAGCTGTAGCTAGAAATTGCTGTGCAACCCGATGACAACTTAGCTATATTTAGCGGAAAAAGTGGTGGCAAGGATCTATCCAACTCAATTTTTTGTTTTACGGTTTCGGTGTTCGGAATCTCACAGCCTCCTGAAAGGTACATGGGCCCTGACAGTGTCCGAGCGGAAGGAGGCTCCCTCCCTCTCACAGGGTTACCTACTCATTGGAAGCCTTCTTCCCAAGAAATTCGGAGGACACGCATTGCATTCATTGCACAGCAAAGGCTTTGCATGCTCCACACTCCCCACCCCCAACATGAGAGCTGCTGGTACTGTGGACACTTTGATGGCTTTTAAGTGTTATTCTAAGACAAGAAAACAAGCATGAAAGGTTTAAGAGGGAAATGGACTATTACCCAATTGTTTATGCATTGAAGTGATATGTACGGCACTTGGTTTTTATATCTTTTCAATGTGGCATGGAAAAGAAATACAAAGTGCTGCTTATGGTTTAAGAACAAAGATAAACTTGCTTTGTGGGCGGGGGGGAAGAGCTGTAGCAGGTATTTTCAAGTGCTTACTACGACAAAATCATTGCCACGGAGGCTGACTATCCTTTGTACAGAAGTGACTAATTCGAGGCTGAGGCACAGTTTAGCTTTTCTTGAGCCAGACCAAACTAGATATGGTATATTGTCCATGACTCTGACCCTCCTCACCACTGGTCAGCCAGAGAGAATTACCTACTAATGAAAAGCAGAACAATTAGGAGGAGCTCAGAAAACAGGAAAGCAAATACCATTAAAGAAAAATGGGAATCTTTAAGAGTAAAACAATGTCAATTGTATCACAAAAGAGGGAATTTACAGGGGTGGGGGGAGGATTACAGCCTGTGAGTACTTACCTTATAGTTCTCTACTGTTTAACATGCAAGATGTATCAATCCTTGGTCATCAAGGAAAAAAAAGGTATTGGAAAAACAATTCCTATTTGCTTTAGAAACAGCAATTTTAAAAGGTAGGTTTTTTATACCTTCTTCCACTTCCCAACCTCATCTTGGGTTAAATCTTATTCAGAGGAAAAAGCACTTGGTTTGGAAGTGGCCTGTCTCATTTTCACAAAATCTCTCCTAATGAGATGAGGTTTTGTGGTGCTGTGTCTATTAAGAAAAAGAAATGCAGAAACAGAAAATCTACTTTTTGTACCGTTGCACTTCTTGGGACTAAAGCGTCCAATACTGTATTCCAAAACTTAATCAAAAGATCATGAAGGGAGAAAAAAGCTTTTATACAATTTGGGGCAAAAAATGAAAATACAATTAAATTTTTTAAAAGTCAGCGATAGTCCCATCATCCTAAAATAAGATATTCACTGTGAACAAGCCTTAAAAGCAAACAAAATTTTTCAGCACATACCTTGTATCACTCCAACAGGATCATTTTAATTCAGGCTTTCTCTCATTTTTTATTTTGTGACAGTTTCCGGCGGTTTTCTACAGATACACAGGTTGGTACCCGTACAGACACCCTAGAAGCCCAAGCAGAGATGATCTTTTCAATATAAATGTCTGAACATTCTCACTGGAAATTTTCTTTTCTTGAGATGAACAAAAAGACACCTAACTCTTCTGTGTATTACTATTCCTACCACTGTCAAGACGCCCAGAGGCCTCTCTGGTTTTCTGTGTCCTGGCCTAAACCCCACCCTTCACAGACACGAGAAAAGCTAACACCGCACTGTTGGCGCCTAAGGCCTAACACTCGAAAGGTGGAGATTCTCTTTCTCCAGTGATTTGAGACAGCCTTCTTTGTATGCCATCTTGGCCACCTATTAAGTTGAAAGAATCAGTATAAGTGCTCAAAGAACTTATAAAAAAAGGGGGGGATGGATTACGGCTGAAAAAACTACTGGTAAAAGAATAGGCAGAGATCATGAAACAGCAAGAAAACCCATCTTGGTAAAAGCAGTCAACTGGTTGGGCTGTGATCATTATTAGCTTATTAAGGAAAAATACATTTGTTCTTATACCATACAACAAGCGAAGTACTAGATAGATCAAGGAAGCAGGGTTTTTTAAAAAACTAAATAACTAAAGGACTATATTTTAAAGCAATGAGAGAAATTGTAGTAAAAGATCAGTAAATTGAAAGACAGAAATATAAGCATTCTATATGTCAGAAATAATCAAACAAAATCAGAGGACAAAAAGCAAACTGGTAAGAAGATACATTTTTTCAAAAACTGAGACACAAGTAGTTAATAACTCTAATTTATAAAGTGTTACTATAAATCAATGAGAAAATAGATAAAAGTTATGAACTGACAATTTATAGAAGAGAAAATAAAAATAGCTAATTATACAGTAAACAATTTTCGGCCTCACCAGTGAATACAAAGTTATATAACAGGAACCTAACAAAACAGCAAAGATGCTTAAGTGACATTAATCAGTGCAACCAGAGCTTCGAGCAGACACTCACACTCTGTGTTAATGTAAATTGGTACACCCTTCCTGGTAATATGCATTAAAGTCCTGAAAAATGATGATGCTCTTTGATCTGGTCATTCTTTCAGGAGATTATCCTAAGCAAGTAATTTGAAATGCTAAGATTTATGAACACACATAAGAAATGTTTATTTAAGTACTCCCTAAATGTCCAGTAATAGAAAAATTAATAAATTATAGTATAGTCATATAATAGAAAATTATACTGCTATTTAAACAATATTTAAAGAATGGATAATCCCATAAGAAAATATTTTTGACTGATTGAAAAAAAACATAGTTTGTGAAATTCTGTGTACAGAATGATCTCAGTTATGTGGAGATTTTTAAAAAGCATACAAAACTGTTTATAGATGTTAATGCTGGTTGCTTTTGACTAGTAAGATAATAAGATTTGGTAATGTTTTGTGTACTTTTAACTTCTTTCTAAATTCCCAATTTTCTACCATGTATACTCATGTATTATTTTTAGCACTTCTTAAAAAGAAAGAAAAATTGAAATTGAAATTGAAATGGTTCAGAGTATGCCACCCACAAATATATCACTCTGGCAAAAGGCTTATTTTGAATTGAAGGCAGCAGGATAAAGCAGACACAGGACCCACGCTCTGGGCCTCCCTCTCCACCAGGAAGGGCAGAAAGGTTCTACCACCAGAGTCAACTCCGGACTCTTACTGGCCCAGAATCTGAGCCAGAGAAATCTATGCAACGTATCTTGCTAAAACAATCCTTATCTTCCCTTAGTTTCCCCATGCATTTACCTTCTCATAGTGGGCTGCCCTTGGAAGCCTAAAACCTTAAAACAAGTCACTTCTCAACAAATTGATTGCTCTTTGCTAAGACACTATAGAAGCCCACCCAAGTTCTGATTATTCCTGAGTTACTACTCATCACTGAGTTAAGAAACTTGTTTGTTGTTGTTGTTGTTGTTAATCTGTCTTTTGTCAATCTAATTTGCAGGATCCCAGCAATGAATGAACCTAAAATGGGTAGAGGAAAAAAATTTTCCTCTCCTACAAATGACCACAATAATAAAGAAACAATGGAGGGCATTTTTTTCCTTCAGCAATCTTAGATTGCACGCTACTTACTTAATGGTAGGGATAATGGGATACTTCCAAGCCCATAGAGGTACCACTAACAACTGTGAATTGGTTTAATCAAAAGTGCAGAGTGCTAGGTGATTTTTGAGGGGGGGGGTTGGGTAGGGGGGGTGTGAGGCTGTGGGGGGGGGCAGGGGCAGGCCAGGGAGGAGTAGCTACTTTCCCTTCTCTTCATCTTCCTCAAGGTTTAGTTTCCCCTTCTCTTCCTTCCTTTCTCCCCACTTGATTCAAGTAAAAGCCAGAGAGCATAAGGACCACATCCCTTCCCCTTCCCAAGAGTGGTGAGATAGGATTATTTTCATCTGTGCTTCCAAGCCGGAGAAGACAAACCTGAAAAGGAGAACACAGATTTCCTGTAGGGTGAGGAGGAAGGGTCTGTGTAAGGACCCAGGCACACTCCTCCAACCCTCATTCTCGTAGACCGCTCTGGAGAGGCACAGGGCATACTCCCTCAATAAGTTCATTTGAGAACCAGACAGAGGGAATGCCTGCCTAGAAAAAAGAGTTGGATGTTTCAAATGGTAACTCTTGGAAGGACAGACTCCACCACCACTCCCCTACCACCACCACCACAACCACCAAGGGGGCCAGATCTGAAAATAAAGGAACTGAAAGTTCAATCATACCCAAACTTGACCTGGACAAGGGATGGAAGATGAACAGGCTCAGGATATTTCTTCAGCCAAGTTCAAAGTGAAGGACTTTTTTCTGTGTTGTTTCTAGTTAAAATTTAAAGCAAAATGTAGCATGTACTGTGTCCCACTCATTTGCTGTAACAATTTAAGTGTGTTTCTGTTCCTAAGGAAGTGGAGGCCCAGTCTTTGACCATTTCCATGGTACCACATGGCGTCCCTGAATGAAAGGGTCTCTGTCCAGGAAGGCTGGAATGCTTTTAGAAAGCCTTTTAAATGTGTTCTTTCCCCTTTAAATCTTGTCATTGCATTCTGATCGCAGGCAGCATATTTTAACTCAATAGAGAGAAATGTCATTAAAGTTAAGAGTACACAGATTTTGAATGTCTGGAAAGACACACCTTGTGAACAATTACAACTTCTTGCCAAGTAATTAATTATTATATTAGTAATTGTGGCTATTTTTTCTCTCTACCTAGAACCCAGAAACTAGGGAAATTGAGCTTTTCCATCCGACTTTCTATGGGTTCAAGGCTTTCTTTTCTCTCCTCTCTCCCAGAAAAAAATCTAATTGATTCTCCTCAGACTAAAACACATAATTCAGCAATATGCCACCATCAGCCTAAGGTTCAATGTTCTTTACACTGAAAATAAGTAAAAATAGTACATTATCCTCAAACGTGGTGGTTAGGAAGAGAAATACGCTGGAAGCAGGAAGGTATAAGCAAGTAGCTATCTCTAAATTACAACGTGAGGGCCACAGCCATCTGCGCTCCCCCACTTGCCCCGAAGGAAGCGCCCCAGTGTGCAGAGTCACTGTGGTGGCAGCGGCCCAGGGGACAGACACCATTAAAGAGAATCGAGGGGAAGCTGCGTTCCATGGGTTCATTCACTTACTTGTTGTGTAGGAGGCAAACCGTGTCTGAAGGGCTCTGGGCTCGCTAACCAAAATGTTAATGGCTTAGAAACAGTAAGAAATTAGTGAGATGATTATCAAGTACCTGGAACAAGAGTTGACTTTCTGCGAAACATCATTCTGGAATCAAAGCCAAAATCTCTCTCTTCTATTCAGATGAGCCTGAAGGAAAAAAAAGAGAAGAGAAAACCAGTTGTGTCAGAATTAGTAAGGCAAAAACCAGAGAGGAATGAAAACAAGCTGATATTAATTAGGGCGGGGGGTGTGGTGGAGAGTCCTCAGCTTCCGTAACTACAGAAGAGCTAGGCTTTTGAGAGGTTAGAAAAAAGTGTTGTGTTGCTTCTCTCAGAAAGTCAAACTTTGGAATACCTCCCGGGTCCCGGATCTCTCCTCGGGTCAGGAATGGGACTAAGGGAGGGCAGGATTAGGAGGTGATGTTAAATGGCCTCCTAAAATTTCAGGTTGAAGTGATTTTTAATGGAGTGTTTGTGTCTTGTATCTTGCTTTTTACTTATTATAAAAGTAATAGACAATTACAATAATTAAAAAACACCATCACTACAGAAAATCAATTTCTTTAAAAAAAAAAAGGTCCCCTACCCATTCCCCTAAGGCAGAGAGTATCACATAACAAGTTGGAAGTAAAAATATTTTTATATGATTTGTATTATATATCTTTTAAAATAAAGTTATAGATAGTTATCATGACCCAATAAATATTTATATAAAAATACTAAGCTTAAAAGTAATTCAACATATAATGCATGACAGAATCAAGAGATAGCAAATAACCCTATGATTAGAAAAAGACTGAAATAAAATGTGTCCAAATATTTTTAAAATTGATGGTATTCCTCATATTTTTAAGCATATACTAATGTGTGTGTTTAATGACTGCTTTGCTTTGAAGAGCCCCGGAAAAGGATACTCAATTTCCAACTTTATGCCTATGGGGAGAAGGAAAGAATATTTGGAGATTATTGGTAAATTATGCTTTGAATCTCTCTGAAGCATATGAACTTAATTTTCAGTCCTATCTGAAAAAGTTCCCCTGCTTTAAAAAAAATTCTTTATATGTGTTTCTCGGGTAAGAGAAGGAAAAGAAACTGCATACAAAACTTGGGTTGGGCAATTGATTTTAATCGTGGTTTCTATTAATTACTCAGCAATTTCAGGCAATTATCCACTTTCACACCACAGTTTTCCCCTATGTAAAATGGGAAGAGTGATAGAAAAGCTGAACCCAGGCAAGCACTGTTGCCAGCAACACCTGTCTTTGGCCAATACCCAACTCTGCTCAGCCGGGGCCACACATTCCACCAGCTCACAGGAGCCAGGAGGCTTAATTACCTGTAGTTTCAAAGATCTCTGAACTCTCTTAGGAAGGGGGCTAAGTTCATTGTCACATTATCCAGTTCCTGAAGCATTCATTTTACAGAGATAGAGAGGAAGAATACAGAGATTGGGCTATGCTCCAAAGGAAGCTCAGAGACAGGTTTTCTATACACTATATAGGTTGAGGAAATGCTTTGTGGTTTGAGAAAAGTCACAGCATACTTCCGCACAAATAATATGCTTCTCAGAAAGAAAATATTTAAGTTACATATTCATTTAAGGTCATCACATTTTAAACTGGCTGTGTTTACCTCCTCTTGCCTCACCGAAAGGTGATTGTCTCCTACCAGCACAAACCTGTGTGATGTGCTGTATAGCGACTGATGTTTTACGGGTGCTACTGAGGGACAACCTTGTCTGCGAGTCCTCAAATCCCGGGGCCAACATCACATTGTGAAGACGTGCTCATGAAACTGAGGGCAACACGTTGTGAGGCTGCCAGCTTTAAGAAGTATGACTCTTTACTCCAAGAATGTGTTCTTCTACTTTAGGGGTATTAAAATGTCACCTACTTTCTTTTGGAATGAATGGCAATTGAAGATGGTAGTTGTATTTTTTTTAACATCCTTATTGGATCAAATTTAGACTTGGCAACACAATATTGATCTTCCTACAATTTCCTTTTCCTTTTACATTTTACTGGTCTACAAAATCAAAACTCTGAGAAAATCATCAGCGTATGGCTAATTCTGTCTATACAGTAATAGGGAGCATGTGGATAATCACCATTTTTAACCCAGAATATCAAATTCCTCCCCTACCAAAACGTGTGCCTCGGCTCATGGTAAGTAGGACACCAATGTGCTGGAACTATGTTTCTCTCTCCACCCTCTAACAGGGTTCCTAAAATTAAGCCAATGAAAAAAAAAAGAAGGAAGCAGGAAAAAAATAATCCGGATAATAAATAAGCTGGCTAGTTAATGGACTCAGTGTTCATTAACAATGAATAAAATAGGGCCAAAACAATATTTGGACTGTACTTACACTAAAACTTATTCATTGTTTATTTTTTATTCAAATTTAACTGGATACTATGCATTTTATCGGGCAACTCCACATGCAAGAGTATCTGACCCTTTAGAAAATACACAGGGAGTAAAACATGAATTCAAGTAGCCCCTTATGCATAAATATTAATGACTTCATTAATATGAAATACATAAATGCCTATTAATGAAATACTTTTTGGTTTCTTTATGCTGTCTAATTTTCTCATCTAAATACGAACTACTTGGGATGATTGAGTTCTTATAAAAGGATAATAACTCTCAGTGAAATCCAGAGAAGAGTAGAACCAGTGAACTTGCCCCACTTGGCTTACCTTGTAAACGAGCTGATAACCCGTGTTTACGATCAGGTTCTGCCAAGTCACCTCAGCTGCCCACCTCTGAGCTGGCCGCTCAGGTGCCACAGAGTGATTCCCTTCCACCCACACTGACGTAGTCAGGTCTGAAAGCTTGTGGGTGGGAAGCGAGGAGGAAGGCCAGGATCCATGGAGGAGCCCTTCGATTTACTCAGCATGCAGTGGGCACACTCGTACTTTGTTTCTCATTTATCCATCTGACATTAAAATGAACGCTAAGTTAAAAACTCCGCATCGTTTTCACCATACTCCCTGGCAAATGTAGAGTTCCCCACCTGAGCTTGAAACAAAAGTAGTAATAAAACTGTCAAGTCATTCTAGTAACCTCTCTGGTGATATTTGCAAGGAAATTAATTTCCCTCTGTTAGGTTGCCATGTGCTTTCTGTGAGGGATGTGAATTAATGGGAGCTAGAGATTGGCAGGAAAGTAGGAGTGGGGGGTCAGGTACCCAGTGTGCATTTCATTAAAGTGAGTGTGAGTTTGGGTGGTGTTTTGTTTTACTTTTCCTCTGGCCACCTCAAGCTTGTTGCAAAAGTAACGTGAGGGGGAAACAAACATGGTGAGTAGTGCTCATATAGTCAAAGAAAAGAGAGTGAAAATCAAAATGTAAAACCGGAGCCAACTCTGTGCTCAGACCCCAGGTGGGCTGCCTTGGATTGTGGAAGGAGAACTAGGTTAAGAGGGTCTCACCCTGGCTCTAACACCATCAATCAGGCGAACTCTGGGCTAGTTGCACTCTTCTCTGAACATCAGACTCCTCCTTTTTCAAATGAAGAGGTTGCACAAGCTAATGCCTCTTCTCCCTTTAGCCTTGATCTAAGGAGGTACAGAGGAGAGAAGGAATTTCCGAGTTACAAATCAGGATTCACCCACTTACCTTCTGAGGGTTCAAGGGCTGTAGGTTTAAAATAACAAAGACGCACTCTGTGTCTCGTGTTCTGACCCTCACATGCAGATGTGCTGCCAGTTTGCATGCCTTCCTTGCTCACCCTAACTTGTCAGAGGAAGACTGGTTGGACCTTTGCTTTGTTTTTCCAGGAATCCCAAGCTCTGTCACCCACAGTTCCTTTGGAATCTCATCTGCACAGGTCACTGTTATCTTTCTTCTTCAAAGCTATTACTTAGATCAGATGAAAAATAAGCAGAGTTCACCCACTATCATTATTTACATGGGTATACAAGGATGGCACTTCTTTTTTTGTCTCTGAATTTGTTTCTGAATTCTGGACTCCCCGAGTTTCTTTGCCATGTGCTTCCCAGGCCTTTTCTCTCTGGATTCATTCCAGTCCGAATCTGTATGAAACACTGCCTCTTGGGTCAGCCTTTTGAAATTGAATCAGATGGGGAAATAGATAGTTTTCAAGGTAGTCAGTATGTATGCACTCTGCTTCTGTCCCTTGTAACTGTGTAGAAGACATGGTGGAAAAGATCATAGATTTCCTTGTGCTTCTTTCCACTGTGAGTCCTAGAGCTCATTAAGCTCTAGGTTTCCTCATGTTTGCAAAGATGGCTGCCCTTTCCCCGAATTAAATCCCAGAGCAAAACCATGAGTCTTCACCTTCTACATTACCTTTCTTATTCAATAGTGTTGACTAGCATGCCCTTTTTCTTCTTGGGTTTCTGCCAACACAAGAGACATTACACTGGGTACCCCGCCCCATTTGCCTTCCAGGAGCTTTTCTGTCATTCTTGTTCCTGGGATATGTTCTCAGTTTACACAAACATTCCTAAGGCCCCTGTACCTTCCCTGGCCCCAGTTCTTCTTTATCCCCTTTTGTTAGTCCTATAAACCCTTGTTGGCCTTCCCAAGATGGAAAATTACTAGATGGCCTCTGCCTCTGTGTGGCCCACACCTCGTACATTATTGGCCTTTGCCCAAATTATGCCACCCCATTTGGGATCACCTGGTATCATGTGATTCATCTCATGACCTGGCAGCATCCCATCTGCCTACCCAGTGCACTATTGCCCCATTCCAGCGCCTCTTGCAGCAGTGGCTTATTATCTTCTCATCATCATCTCACATCTTGTCAGGCTTATCCAACATGAACCCTTTTATTCCTTCCCCGAGATAACTTGAGTACCACTATGTGCCAGGTAATGGGCTCAGCCAACGTGAACTGAAAATACAATGCTTGTCCTCAAGGAGCTTAGAGTCTAGTGAAGGAGACAGACAATAACAAAATAAACAGTAGATCACCATACACATTGGCAAAGGAAAGAAGGAAACAAACAAGGCTTCTGAGAGGGAGTGGCAGGTGGAGTCTATTTTAGATAACATGGTCTGCAGAGGTCACATTTAGGCTTAGACCTAAAGAGAGAAGAGTCCGGGCTGCAAATGCAGGAAAGAGCTTGGTGTGTTTGAGAAAGGAGAAAGGCCTCTCTGAATCGCCCCCACTTTTC